CTTTGGCTCAAGAGATCTTCTTGCCTCAGTTTTTCTATTTTTAGTAGAGACAGGGTCTCTTTCTTGCTCAGGCTGGTCTTGAGCTCCTGAGCCTAAATGATCCACCTACTTTAGCCTCCCAGAGTGCTGGGATTGTAGCTGTGACCTTGCTCAGCCTACATTCCACCTCTTGATGGGAAGGAAGATGTGTCAAAGACTTTGAAGACATTTTAAAACCACTGCCCATCTTCATCCTTTGGGTCCCAGAGAGCTGACTTAGTTCTCAGTTGCATCTACTAAATGTTCAGAATTGGTCTTTGGGCTCCTTGGCAGTATGGGTGGAAAGGTAGGAAGAAACTTCCCTCTGGTTTGTGAGTTTCTACAGCTCCTGTGTCCCTAGCATACCATAGCTTTTGAGCATAGCTTTCTGTGTTGTATCTCTGATAAGTGGACCAATTTTGCAGGTCAAATAAACTTGAGAGGAGAATAGCCTTTGTTTTTCTACAGGTCTTTACTTTGGAATTTTAACAGAGACCAAGGTTTTTAAGCATTCTTTAGGCTTGATTTTAACTGAGTTTTCAGAGGACAGCCAAGTAGAATGTTTATGGAATTGAGTCTGATAGGCCAGGTGTATGAGTAAACTCTGCAAGGGAGTAAGTATTGCAGTGGAGATCAGGGATTAGCAGGTTGGGCCCAGGCATGACAGCCAGATGTCACCACTTGTCCCTTCCTCCTGCGGCTAAGGGTACAATGATCAAAAGACACATATATGCCCCCAATTTAATTCTACAGTCAGGTGTTTTTTAAATGGAATGATTGGGTGGCATCATTATTCTATGTGTCTTGATAGGAAGGTTTCATGGATAAAATGAGATTCCATAGGGCTTTGAAGATGGCAAGAAAAATATTTGTAGTAGAAAATTCTCTCAGAAAGAATTACATTAAAAATAGTGTTTAGTGGCTTGGCGCCTGTGGCTCAAGCAGCTAAGGCACCAGCCACATACACCTAAGGTGGCAGGTTCGAATCCCCAGCCCGGGCCCACCAAACAACAATGATGGCTGCAACCAAAAAATGGCTGGGCGTTGTGGCGGGCGCCTGTAGTCCCAGCTACTTGGGAGGCTGAGGCAGGAGACTCGCTTGAGCCCAGGAGCTGGAGGTTGCTGTGAGCTGTGATGCCATGGCACTCTACCCAGGGGGATAGCTTGAGGCTCCATCTAAAAAAAAAAAAAAATAGTGTTTAGAATAAAAAACTTAGGGTGGCAATTTAAAAAGGATATAGAAACAGCATCCTTTGGCATATCTGACATAATTAATTCAGCCCCTTTAGAAAATGAGCAACAATAATTTTTCTAGAATTTGGAATCCTAAATAGTATTTTTTATATGACCTATATTCATAGTAATAACTTTCTTCATCTAGTAGCTGTGGATTAGCAAAATAACAAAGAGGCGATTTATATCTGAATACAAAGAAAAAAGATGCTTTCATTATATAGTGATTGATTTTAGGTTTTGATATTAGGTTTAAAAAAAATTCCTTATTTTAAAATAGATCATTTTGTCTTGAGCAGCCAAGGCATCTGTATCTATAATGAAAATCTCACTTACCAGTAAAGAAAAAAACCCAAAAGCAGTGCCCCTAAGTGAAGTAGAAAGATTAAAAGAGAAAGCTTGAGTGGCTGTGGGAGAGATTTGCATCACTGTTGTTGATTGCTGGCATGCTGGAATTATAGGAAAACTTTCTATGACTTTAACTGACATTCTTTTATATATATCCCTTATGTAAGAGGTGGAATATAATACTTTGGATGTTGTACAGATTATGTCAGTAGTTCCAGAATATGAAGAGTCAATAAATTTCACTGCCATGACTAAGGCAGTATTATCATGGAGTTTCTTCCCACCACCCCAACATGGAGTTTCTAATAAGATACCTCCATTAAAAGTTGAGTCTTGGCTCAGCGCCTGTGGCTCAAGTGGCTAAGGCGCCAGCCACATACACCTAAGGTGGTGGGTTTGAATCCGGCCCAGGCCCACCAAACAACAATGGCAGAAATAGCCAGGCGTTATGCCAGGCACCTGTGGTCTCAGCTACTTGGGAGACTGAGGCAAGGGAATCAAGCCCAGGACTTGGAGGTTGCTGTGAGCTGTGATGCCAAGCATTCTACCCAGGGGGACAGCTTGAGGCTCTGTCTCAAAAAAAAAAAAAAGTTGAGGTCTTGGCTCAGCACCTGTAACTCAAGCAGCTAA